GGGGCCTAAGGTCAAATAGGCCTCAATTCATAATAGGAAGTGTGTGACTGTCCCTGGAAAGAGTGGGGGGAAAACGTGATTTACGGGACCCACGTAAAGGGGTGGTAAAATTGTGAATAATGTTCGACCGGGTGGCAGGTGCAGGGGCCAGGGTGTGTGTCCGGGGACTACCGTGTGTTAACCTCGCTATCGGCTCAGATCTTAATGGAGTACCTCTAATTTTTTTTAATAATTAGAGCTTAAAATCGTCTTGTGAATGGAAATTAATCAGTGTAATAACTTGAGTTAAAGAATGGGGGATGTAAAAATAAGTCGCCTTGCTTCGAGTAAACCCGTTGACCTTGTTTTCCCCGAGACGAGGAAAAGGAAGTTTTTTTGAGTAAAGATTCAAAACCCGGGACAAACCGAGGGATCCCTCGTCCTGCCGGAATGAGAACCGTGTCGGTACGGGACATGGATGAGATGGGATGGAGGAAATAAGGAGTATAATCACCAAAATTTAAGAAACCCCTTTAGTTAAAAAAATTTGCTGGCCAGTTGTGTTATTTGTAATTGGATAGGTTATGAGGTCCAGCTACATCAAGGACCCCCAGAGAACAGCTGGAAGTGGTGGGATTATGTACAAATGTTTTCCTTGATGGATGTATCCATTGTATCCTACCCCCCCCCCCCCCCCTTCATTCGCTAAACTTTTATAATATATACATCCCAATTAATTGTAGCACCGTTTGGGGGTGCTATCCATCCATACTGGTTCGGATAGATAGGGGATAAAATTGTGAGGTCGGGGACCACCGTAGTGACAGGGGTGGTTAAGTTTTTCCCATGTCTCCCGGGGGTGACTCGGAAACAATAGGGTTGTCTCCCAAGAGATTATTGTATGTTATAATTTTGGGTACTACAGATAAGCCCCCTAGAAAATTTCCATATCTCCCCGTTGGTCCTTCCTGAACCGGAGGAATCATGAAAAAAAAAAAATTAATTAAATTTAAATTAAAAAATAATTAAGGGTGATTAAAGGGAAAATTGGGTGTAGGGTGCACAATTTTTAATCGATCGTGTGTGGTGAAAATTAGCCCAATTAATTGCTAGACATTTGGCTAGGATTTTTACAAGAGTAAAGTGCAAGTTTACTCTTAAGGCGCCTACTTAAGTTGTATAATCAGTGTTAATAATTCTCAACCATGACTGGTCTAAGGGAGTTAATGTGGCTGACAAATCCGTGAATTTTTGGTAAGAAAGCATCATTACGGTATTAAAAAGCCATGTGACGAAGGCTTTTTATTTGTGAAACAAAGAACCCCTGAACTTAATGAATTTTAAATTTATTTAGATGGGTTTTAAGAGTAGATTTGATTGGACAAATTTTGGTTAAAGCTTTGAAAGGATCTGCGGAGAAAATTTTGCAGATGGAAAGGAAAAAGAAAAGTTTTAATTAATCAAATTACGAATTGGAAAAAAAACTGTCTTTAAAAAAAAGGCTTTGAATAAATTAAAGGGTGTAGCCAGGCGTTTATCAACCTATTAATGCAAAGGGTGGGTTTGCCAAACCTCCATAGTACGGTCTGGAGGGAAAAAGCTAGGTCGGCAGGAATAATTGTTCAATTGCAGACCAGTCAGCCCAAACCGTTCTAAGGGGTATAACACATAATGACTTGAAATATCTGTCAAGTCCAAAAGGGAAAAAAAATTTCCGGGTAAAATCATAGTTAAAAAGTTAAAAAAAGGGAAT